ATTGGAAAAGATTTTTGGATGACTGTTTTATATTGTGGACTCAAGATAATGATTCCTTGAAAGACCTACATTATATACTCCAAAACTTACATCCAAGTCTATCATTTACAATGGAAGATAGCAATGAAAAGTTACCATTCTTAGATGCAATGGTAACTATAAAGTCAGGACAAATAGAAACTGATATCTACTATAAACCTACAGATTCCAAACAGTATTTAGACTACAGATCCTGCCACCCACGCCATATTAAAAATAGCATTCCATCTTCACCAGCCCGTAGAATATGTACCATAGTATCAGACCCCACTATTCTAGACTTAAGACTGAGAGAATTAGAGAAACTATTAAAAGCCAGAGGGTATCCTGATAATATCATTTTAGATATTATAAGAAAGGCCCGTTCTTTTAACCGAGAAGATCCTCCAAAACAAAGGGAACAAGAAAACAATTTGGCAGTCTTACCTATTATAACTACATTCAACCCCTACAACCCAAATGTTTATCCAAATGTGAGAAACTATGTACAGGCGCTAGACACATGTCCAAAGATAAAACATGCTCTAAAAGGTACTAAAATGATAAACAGTAAACGGCAGAGCAAAAATCTGAAACAACTGTTATCAAAAGCGTGCTTTATTGATCAAAAACCTGTGTTAGGTGGAAGTATCACGAAATGTATTAGGCCGAATTGCGGCACATGTTCACACATTTTGGAGGTAAATTCATTCACCTTTAGGAATAACTCAAAATTCATAATAATGGAAAATATGTCTTGCGCCTCTAGAAACCTAATATATGTAATAACATGCGCTGGTTGTGGGGAAGAATATATTGGTCAAACGGGGGATGTATTGAGAGCAAGAGTCCGAGTACATAAACAACAAATTAAAACCCCATATTATAGATGTATACCCCTTAGCGCACATATAGATGAATGCGCAAAGAATTGCAATCCCCAGTTCACAATCTGTCCTATATACAAAATGCGCACAGAGAAAGAAGAGCTGAGGAAAATCAAAGAACAATACTTTATTGAAGGATATACCCCTAAATTAAACTGTAACTAACATGAAATCATGTTGACGTCACATTTACTGCGTATGACGCCATGAATCACGTCCCTTGCCATTGTCAACGCTATACCATTAGCTATACAATGTATAAGTTACCCTGATGATCACTATGTTGTGAAACCGGTTGGTAATGAATTTATATGAAGACCAATCTTCAGTTTGTTATTTTTAAAGAGTATATAATAGTATATATGGATATTTGTATTGCTTTTTTTGTTTTGTTTTGTAAATATTTTTGTTTCTCCCAATGAGTCTGTGACTCAAGGCTTATAAAAACTTGAAACAGTCCGAGGTGAAATGGTTGTGGGATGAACTGACCCGCACCCGGCTGGTAACTACAGGTGGGAATTAATAAAACAATAGCATTCGACCAATCAAATAATTAATCCATACTGTACTTACGAACATGTATATTCAAAAACATGGTTTCATATGGCACCCAGGCACTTGACCACAGGTGTGAATTAATAAAACAATAGCATTCGACCAATCAAATAATTAATCTATACTGTAACAACGTTCATTTACGACGTTGTTGTTGTTGTTCATTAAAGATTTAACGTCCAATACAATGGATATGATATTATGGACAGGTTGATTTAATTAAATTATTTACGCATGAAAATTGTTAAAAACACAAAATAAAAAGGTCCTCGGATACCAAAAGTTTCTTAAAGCACACTTATAAATTTGCTGTCTAGAGAAGAGAGGGCGTCTTCTCCCTTTGTCATAGTAAAGTTAACACATAACTCCATCCTATATTCCAAATAACAACCGGCTGACCAAAAGGTAAATAGCTCATAATACACAGGCCTTTTCTGTAATTAATATGTATGGGAATATAGATTAAGAGGAGATTAGTGACTAATATGATAATTGTCTGTGATATCACCTCGGTGGAAGCGGGCGTTAAATAAAGCTATTTCACACATAATCTGATAATCGTAGATAAACGACGACTTTCACAACATAAAAGTTGCGTTTATTTTGAATACTAAAATAACTCTGGCTTAGTTTGGCTTGGCTCTGAATTTTGATCGAGCGGAAGATTTTTAAAGACACAGATTTTTATTAACAATTTTAACAGACTGTGGTATAGGATTTAAATGGTTCATTTACATTATCAATACATACAGTTTGCTTTTTTTTTATTAAATTATATATAAATCCGTTGATTGTTTTCCAATTTTGATTTCTTTTTGTGCATGCTGCTATTTCTGTATTTATAAACCAGTGTTGTGTTTTTAGTATTCATGCTGTTATTTGTGATTGTTTTTAGTATTTAAGTGTACATACATATAAATACATACAATTGGTTTTTGTTATTAGATTGTCATATCTAAATATATGTTCTGTTTTATTTATAAACCCTTTTCTTTTTCGGGAATGTTGATTTTGAATCAGTCACAAACTTTAACACCTGTACCCAATAATCAACTAAATTGCGCAGAAGCCCCCAATCAAGTAATTACGCTGTCTGAAAATGGGCGACAGCTTGTCTATAGAGATTGACAGTGACCTTTTTTGACGCCAGTCTAATGTACAGTCTCGCGAGATTATCGCACTGTCATTGAAGCTCAACTTATGAACACGTGTACAGATGGAAGACTAGTTAATTCATTTGTGATTTAAAAAAGATACATTACTTGGGACGTGATTTACCGATTTCCAATTGTATAGTTACCTGGGACGTGATTTACCGATTTTTGATTTATTTGTCAGTGATGGAATACTATAGGATAGTGGATAATATATAATACTACGACCACGGTAAAGTGATCATCTATGGGTGTGCATTTTTTATATTCCCCTTTTTATATTAGTACTTCATATGTAAATAACCGTAATAAAAATTAACCGATCGGATAAACGAATGCCAGTCAAGTCGTCCACAAGCAAAGTCGTACACACGAAAAATCTGGTAAAGTCGTCCACACCCGTTGGTGGAGTCGTCCACACTCGTTGGTGGAGTCGTCCACACGACTTAGTATAATTTCTGGATATAGTAATACGTTGGTGGAGTCGTCCACACGACTTTCGGGACACATAATGTATTTTTAATTAGTATAGTTTTTCTGCGTGGTCACCCTTTCTCCCGGCAAAACTATAATTTCTGGATATAGTAATACGTTGGTGGAGTCGTCCACACGACTTGGCATAATTTCTGGTTATAGTAATACGTTGGTGGAGTCGTCCACACGACTTAGTTTACTTTCGGGACACATAATGTATTTTTAATTAGTATAATTTTTCTGCGTGGTCACCCTTTCTCCCGGCAAAGTAAATCATTTTATTCAATAAATAACACATTCATAAACAAATTTAACAAATTCAATAAATAATCATTAATATAACAAATTCAATAAATAATCATTAATATAACAAATTCAATAAATAACAAATTCATAAACAAGTTCATTAATATAACAATTTCATTAATATAACAAGCCCCATGCACAAATGAATTCCTATACCGCTACCAAACGACCTGCACGTCCTTTAAAAGCCCCGATACACTTTTTTCCCCCTGTTGATACAATTCCCATATTTTAAAGAGTGTTGTCGTAATGTGTTATAGACTCTATTAGGCCTTTAAATCTGAGGATTCAGCTGGTGGCACTTGTTTGAATCAATATGGGCAACAGAATGAAAATAAAATTAATCCAATTAGAATACAGAGGTGTTACTTTTATATAATGACATCAGCATTTACAATCAACTCAAACGTTAAAGTGTAAAGCACAAACAAAAATATATGACTGAGAAAGAAACTATTTTAAAGGGTAAAAAAACGTTTTTTATATTTAATTAAAAAATGTCGATAAAACATTCAAATTAACATATCCAACAACGTTTTTAAGACGTTTATTTTATGTTTTGTGAAATGTTTTTTTTACAACGTTGTTTCAAACGTTGAAAATAAACGTTTTGAAAACCTAACTGAAACGTTTTTAATACGTTTAAAAGATGTTTAATTGTTTGCTGGGTTAATACTAATCAAAAATGTTACAATCATAACGTCAATTAAAAGCGAATATACTTTATTAAAAAAACATCGTTAATACTGATCAAACAATCAAAAATGCTAAAACCATAACACCAATTAACAAACAATACAAAATACAAGTATACTTCATTGCAAAAACATCGGTGAACAACAAACTAACAAAACAAACAATAACATCGACGTTTTGAGTACGAGTAAATTGTGTTCGAGTCTTATTCTTAGTTGTGGACGACATCACCAATAGTTGAGTATGAGTAAATTGTGTACGAGTCTTATTCTTAGTTGTGGACGACATCACCAATAGTTGAGTACGAGTAAATTGTGTACGAGCCTTATTCTTAGTTGTGGACGACATCACCAATAGTTGTGGACGACATCACCAATGCCTTGTGGACGACTCCATCAATGGGTGTGGACGACTTCACTGTGGACGACTTCACTGGCACCCGGATAAACGGCTCGCGGAAAATTAAACGGTTCATCTTATTTTTCAACGCCGTAGATAAATTAATCGTGTGTTGATTTTTTAACGTATCTCGGGAAAGTAAACGGCTCATCTAATAAGTAATGGCCGTAGATAAGTAAACAGTGTGTTGATTTTTCAACGTATCTCGGGAAAGCAGACGGCTCGTCTAATAAGTAAAAGTCGTAGATAAGTGAACGGGTCAGCCATTTTTAAACGCCTCTCGGAGAAACTAAACCTGTTACCATTAAACTAAGCCATAGTACTAACTAACTCATTTATGTAATTCTTAAACGATTTTTATCAATTATTGAACAATGTTTTGAAAGTAAACTCTATGCATACTTTCCAGCGCTAAAAACCCTGTTATGTTATGTTCTGAAATTAGGATTATCATTTCAAGACAGAAATGGCATGTGTTTTAATCGAAGACGATTATTATGAAAATACTTACATTAAAATCTGGTTTTCTGTTTCTTGGCTGTCTCTGAAGTTGGTTCTGGCTGGGGTTTTGCACCTGTGTCTGCAATCTTTCGAGGACCATCCTGGTCTAGTGGTCATTTTCGCCCCATTTTGCCTTTATCATCGAGTCTGGCCCTATAAAGATAGTAAATTCAAGACATCAAAATTGTTCCAGGATGGTTTGGCAATTAATACAAATTCTTGTTTCGTGCCAGACATTTTTAATTTTTACAACACTTTATTAATTCTAATGTTGTAATTTAACTCATCTATCCAATCAAACTTACTATGGTACTTACTTTTCTTGAGTTATATTGTCTTGAAAGGGGCTTATTCCTACAGAGATTGTAGACATTTCAGGAGGCCTGTTCTTTCCCTTGTCTGTATCAGTACTACAAAAACAAAATTAGTTGTAATAATTGGTACTATCATGTATAAAAGTGACGATATCATTACCAGTATGTTAATGATGAAAGTGTCTGGTAGCTTTCCAACAACCAAGATTTTCACAGCGTTGGAAAAATATTGTGACAAAAAATAAGGTGTAGTAATAATAGATATAATATGCAAAGTGAATGAAACAATAATGTCACTGAGACAATAATGTCATTGAATAATTCGAAACAGTGATAAAATTGTTATTACTATATAAATAAAATATTAAAAATTCTTAAAATACAGATGTGACGTCATCCTTTGATGTTGGAGTACCATTATTTCAAATAATCGCACGGGCAATGTGCCAAGCGTAACTTGGTAAAATATTGAACTCGAGTGACGTATTTCATTGCAAAGCACGTGCAAGTGTCTGTATTTTAAGTTGTTTAATGGTCTCGAGCTTAAGACATTGCGTAATATATTGTAAAAACATTCGGGTCTCACGGCCCTCATGTTGTTACAATATATTACTTAATGTCTCGCTCGAGACCATTAAAAGATACATATAAAAGTTGTGTTCGTATTTTTTCATATAATCCTCGTTTTTAAATTTATGGGATGAAATGACCCTATATAAGTGAGATGAAACACAACCCTATATAAGTGGAATGAAACGACCCATGTAATTTTTGGATGAAACAGCCCAGGATGATCTACATGTAACATAATTGTCAAAAAACAATTAATTAGTTGCTGTACAAACATTACCTGCCATGAATGGATGATAGTTCTGAAACATGCAGTGCTCCAGCATTTGAAGGCACACAAATTCCGCTAATAGCTGAAAAAATAAATACATTCACCAGTCATTCATCAAAAAATTGTCTGTTAATATTAGTTATTATACAAGATAGTAAAAAAAACCCTTACAATAATTAAATTTAAATTCAGGTTACTAATAAACCATAGCTCATATGAGATATTCAACCATCTAGATTAAAGTACAGTAGCTAAGTCTCTAACCCAATATCATCGAAAGTCTGACAAAAATTATTTGTCAATTTAAATCGACATTGATGTTGTGATTTTACTGGGAAAAGATGGGCTTCTGACATCCAATATATATAAAAAAAATGAACATTTTACATGTTTACCATTTGTAACAAAGGACTCAAATAACAGGGCTAGACATATTCCACAAGTCAGGACGGTGACCCCATATTCTTAGGTGGAGAGCCTGCATAATAAATAGATTGCCGTCTCATTGATACTTCTGGGGCAATTCGTCGAACATAACTGATTAGAATTAACAGTAAAAACAGAAATGATTGAATGTAAATTGTAAATAAGTTTATATGTACACATATATTACATTATTATAAACGTTGCGACCCATTTGTGTCAATTTCTAGGTCCCAAATATTAGCGATTTAAACAATGGTAAAGAAATAGAAACAATATTTCACATCTTTTATAAAATGAAATGGAGTTTAACGTCCTACTGTTCTGCTCCGAACTGGGCTAATGAAGACGGGCATACACCATACAGTGTGCTATGAGGGAAATTTTACTACGGCCTACTCTTATATCGAATTGCAAATGTAAAGGGATCTTTTACGTGCAGGCCAATGTGTACACGGGACCTCAGTTTTTCGTCCCCTCGAACGACTAGACAGCTGTCCTTATCAGGCCCTCTGTCCTGCATCACTGACAAGGGGGAACCACGTAGGAAATTCTGGATGAACTTTCTCGGTAAATGCAAGGATCGAACACCCGACCTCCAGGCTAGCGAGCCAGCGTCTTACCCAAATAGCTACCGTGATCCCCACGTTTTATAAAGATATAATATTTATAAACAGTAATATTTTTCAAAACGAAACGTTTCCCATTCCAATGGTAATAATAAGCTGAATATAGATTCTCATGATAATATTTTGCAAATTAGGCCTACCTGTCCAATAACAGCTTTGCCACTTCTTGATGAGTCTCTATTTTCAGTTTCTCCTTCAATTCGTACAAAGGTTAATTGGACTTGTTAATCGAAGGAAAAAAATCACACTGTTCGAACTCAAGGACAATACATGTAGTCAATGACAATAGATAGATAGAGATCTAGCTGATTGACACCTCTATGTGTATATACAATTCAGGCTAATTAGACCTAAGACGGACTGTCTAGAATGTTATTAATAAGTTTGAATTAATTGTTTGGTAATCCAAGTCATATTAATCCCCATTTCCTTTCACATTCCCGTTGACATTATGTATTTATTTATTTGCAACAATAAACCGCACAACACTTGAGGATATCCCCCTTATGACATCATGGAAAGCTATTTTTAGAACAGGAAGTCAATCAAATCTGGAGTTTATTACCTCCCTTGATAGAAATGACTCTTAGATTATTTGAATCGTCTGATGTTAGACGATTCAACTGGATTTGGAATTGAAAAATACTTTCGAACCATTTGGGCAATTCAAATAGGATTTAATGGATAATTAACACATCAGGTAAGACACTAACACATCTAGTACTTAGATTAAGACTATTTTTCTATTTTCTGGAGCTGTCAAGCCAGCCAGAGTGTTATTGTCCCTTTAACAAGTTCAACTAATATCTTATACGCTCAAAATCATGAACTCAATATAACTTGTATTATAAACTCAATATACATATGAAATGGGTTTTAACGTCCTACTGTTCTGCTCCAACAGGACTCATGACGACAGGAAACCACGCCGGTAAATCACGATGAACTTTCTTGGTTAACATTTGACACTATCCTATGTCGCGGTACCAAAAAGGAATTAGCTGTGACACTATGGGGACAGATGATCGTCTAGGACCTGCTTGGACTTCTTGTTGTTGGATCAATTATCTCAATCATCAATTAATGGACTCTGGAACACCGTTTATGTTGTTACTAAGTTTATCTAACGAATACAGCAAACTACAAAGGTCACATACACGAAACTACAATATCTATGATAGTTACTTTTTGAGTAATTAAAATCTCCACGGTCTGAGTTTAATATCCTTTCTAACTCAGACCTAACGGCTTAAACGTAACAAGAGCCACATACTTCTTGTTAGTTCTACATAAGGTTCGCGCTAGGATGATGCGTTCGCCCAAGCCTCTTAGCCGAGGAGGCTATAGGTATGTTCCCCTTGAGCTCCGAATGATTGTCTGAGGTAAATCAAACCTGCTCTATAATATATAGAAGTATAATGCAGCAGCTATTGGGGCGGGACAATTACCATTTTTGGGTAAGTGTTTCGTATAGGCACCGTTTAACATCAACATTATTCTAGTTAATTGTACTAATCTAGGATGATGTGTTCGCCCTAGCCTCTAAGCCGAGGAGGCTATAGGTATGTTCCCCTTGAGCTCCGAATGATTGTTTGAGGTAAATCAAACCCGCTCTATAATATATAGAAGTATAATGCAGCAGCTATTGGGGCGGGACAATTACCATTTTTGGGTAAGTGTTTCATATAGGCACCGTTTAACGTCAACATTATTCTAGTTAATTGTACTAATCTGTGCCCGAGATGACTGGACGATAATACCCTACTTTCCAGAAATGGATACTGACATAACTGGGGGTGAGTTAGTCTAAGTCTAGACTCTAAGTTAGTAGTAGGATAATGCAAACTACTTCATTACCCTAGTTTTCGTCACACATCATGTAGGTAAAGATTTCTATATTAAACAGAACACTTTTCTTAGACCTAAAATAACTCTATATAGTGTTATAAACACAGCAATTGAACACAGGACTTCAAGGTTAGCGAGCCAACATCTTACTGAGCCACCATGGCTCCTAACTTAAGGATGTAACGGTTCAAAAATTCTTGAACCGGTTAACTGGATGTTAAAAACCCAACCGTAACCGGTTAACCCATAAAAATTTTCTATCAAAATATTTGTTGCCCCAAAATAAGACTTGATAATATATTTTTAAATTATTAGTATTACAGCTTTTAAGTTAACAGTCAGTACAAATTCCATTCATTCATTCATTCATCCATTCATTCATTCTTGATGTTTCATTTCTCCATCTTGCACCCTGACAGGTCACGTAATGTGAGGTATAGACCAGTGGCAGTTGAATTGAAATCATGTTGATTTTTTTTTTTTAAAAAAGCTTCACTAATACGTCATAAGATTAATTATGAAATCAATATTTGAAAGCATACCTTTGGATTTTTAAGTACAAAATAAGTTTGATTATTCAACATCATCTAATTCCAAAGAGTTTACTACAGGTGTTGCTATCACAAGCCATGCTGTATCGTATGGAACCAGTGACCCGTATGTCAACTTTGACCCCACAGCATTGCGCACTCGCACTCGAGTGATGATAAAAACAATTTTACTATTCTATTTTAATATTATTTCATCACATCATACTTGTTTCCTTTTGAGACTTTGTTTATGGAGTGATGAGGTTAATACTGTAAAACAATTAATCTGTCAATCTGTTGAGGCTATTTAATGCTTGGCAGCGAGTGCTAATAATTAATGTATACAAATGTCAAAACTTCGAGCGGGGGGGGGGGGGGAATTTAGAGTCATTAACTTCTCGAGACTTATTACAAATGACAAGTTCTATTTGAAATATTTATGTGGTCTTAGTGAAAGAAAACAATGTTGTGGCTATCATTCCTGGGTTGGAAAGTCAGGTATCATATGAAAACGAATACCGATTAGTAATTTTTTGAACTGGTTCAACAGTGCAACCGAACCGTGACCGGTTAACCGAGTGACCGTTTACATCCTTATCCTAACTCAATATAACTTGTATCATACACTCAATATAACTTTCCATATACATACAGTAGAATCTAAATGAAATGAAATGAAAAGGGGTTTAACGTCCTACTGTTCTGCTTCTAAACTGGGCTAATGATGTGTGATGAGGGAAATTTTGCCCGGGCAGTGGCCCTACGGCCTACTCTTATATCGAATTCCATCTTTTACGTGCACGCCAAAGTGTACACAGGACCTCGATTTTTTATCCCATCGCACGACTAGACAGCTGTCCTTACAGTAGAATCTGTACGAGCGGCCACTCCTATTCAGCGACATCTCCTTGTAAGCGGTCACGAGAAATCCCCCCTGTAGAAATTCTATTGTTCCATCTCTTTAATCAACGGTCACTCCTGTAACACGGCCAGCGGTCACTATTTTACTAATTAATTTAGCAAAATAGCGCTTGTTCAACGGCCATTGTTGAATGATACCACCTTGTCATACTGATCAGGTAAAACGAGCTGTGAACCCGGGATTATCTGTTAATTAATCTTTTGTTTTATTAAATGACAAACCCTGATCATTGTTTTCACACGTAACGAATGTACCGTCAAAGCCGAGTTTTGTCACGATCATTTAGTATCCATTTTCCATTGCCACTTTGTTGCTAAACAGAAGTTTTACCACCTCCTATATTATATAAGAATTACACCACCTGAAAATGGTTTTACCACCTCCTATAAATTCAGCGATGGTTTTTTGGACATATGCGTTATTGATAAAATAAAATTAATTCATGAATTGTCTTCACAAAAATGGATAAATATTATCGAATACATCACAATGGTAGACAGTAGTATCAATGTTGGTACAAAATGACACGTTTAGAGAAGATATGTCAGAGTTTTGAGTCAAAGAAATTTTGTTCTAACAAGTTTTAGCGACGACCAAATTTACCGATGCAAGTATTGATGTTTGCTCCCAATAATGCACCCAAGCGTAAAATTTACTTGATGTCAGCACTAACTAACACTGAGATTTTATTAAGAGGTGACTCCTGTTAAGCGACCAGTCATGACATTTCCCTGAGTAGTAAGTGCAGGTGGACCGCACTATGTAAAACAAAAATCTACAAGATAAACCTGCGAACAAGACAGAAAATAGACATTGCAAACAAGAAACACATATCAAATCAAGTGAATGGATCCGGGGGCCAGCCGCAAGCGTCCTCTGCGATGTACAGTCACGGACCTGTTATGGTACAGGCTTCACTAAAGATAGGTTGCCAGGCATATTTTTACTTTTTTCGGTAATGAAACATTTATAATACACTAAAATCTGATTAAGGGTAACAACTCATGAAGTAATTATCAGAAAACCATTAGAATTTGTTTTCTTTTTATAAAGTTCTGCCCCATGCTAACGTTTAGTATACAAAACTTTTAGTATTATGGATTTAGCTGTTCAAGTCATAAAGATAGGTTGCCAGGCAACGAAACATACGCCCACAGCAGCTATATCATCCGGGCAGTCAGCATGAGTTGTCACATATTTTTACTTTTTTCGGTAATGAAACATTTATAATACATTAAAATCTGATTAAGAGTAACAACTCATTAAGTAATTATCAGAAAACCATTAGAATTTGTTTGGTTTTTATAAAGTTCTGCCCCATGCTAACGTTTAGTATACAAAACTTTTAACATCATGGATTTAGCTGTTCAAGTCATAAAGAATCATTGAAAATCAATATACTTATTCGTCTCAAGACCTTAAACAATGTGTATAAATTTAAAGTCGATCGGATATTAACTTTAGCCTCTGGAGCATCCACAAGATTTTTCAAAGTGATCAGGGGCCATAACTCTGGCAAAAATTATCTGAAATCGCTGAAAATCAATAGGCTTCTTCGTCTCATGGTCTTCAACACTGTATATAAATTTAAAGTCAATCGGATATTAACTTTAGCCTCTAGAGCGTCCACAAGAATTTTCAAAGTGATCACGAGCCATAACTCTGGCAAAAATTATCAGAAATCGCTGAAAATCAACAGGCTTCTTCGTCTCATGACCTTAAACACTGTTTATCAATTTAAAGCCAATCGGATATTAATTTTAGCCTCTAGAGCGTCCACAAGATTTTTTGAAGTAAGGATTATAACTCTGGCAGTAATTATCGAAAATCGCTGAAAATCAATAGGCTTCTTTGTCTCATGACCTTAAACACTGTGTATAAATTTGAAGTCAATCGGATATTAACTTTAGCCTATAGAGCGTCCACAAGCAATTGTGGACACCGGACGGCCGGAGGTGACAACAATATACGACCACATTTCAATGTGGGCGTATAAAAATGGTCGGATATTAACTTTAGCCTCTAGAGTGTCCACAAGCAATTGAGGATGCCAGACGGACAGACGGACGGGGCGACGAAAATATACGGCCACATTTCAATTTGTGCGTATAAAAATGATTTACAAAAAAGATGTAACAGAAATAATGCGACCAATAAACGCAAATAACCTTGTAATATATAGTTATCCAGACATCTTTATTATTCATTATTGACCATAAATAACTCACCATGAAATACAAGAAACTGTAAAATATGAAAGACTATATGATTGTTGTGTTTGCCAGATAAACATGTATCTTTATATGTAAAATGTGATGTAAACACCTCTAACATTCTCATTGGTAAAGCTATAGGTTCACAAGTAGTTGCTATATTCGTTAAATATCTGAAATTAAAAAACATTATACTTTGCAGTAATGTCACCTACATGTATTTACCTATAGTAGTGACAGGTATGTTGTGTGAGACAGCTGACAATATTCGTTAATTTGTATTTCAAATATACATGTAACATATATTTTTACCTTTGAATACTTCAATATAGGCTTGTGTGAACAAACTCGCTTTTTGTGCCTTTAATATATATACTATTCAAAAAAAGTAGGGGATATTTGATTTTTAAGTGTTATTAAAGTCACCTAATGAAACTGACGAAGAAACAAATGACAAAATGAAATGAAGTTCACATTCATCGATTTATTCCAAATGATCGTTAGACTAAGTAAGGCACAGACTGACCATTATAAGGGTAAAATGATACCCGGGGTCAAACAGCAAAGTTACCACAGCATCACAACCAAGTCAGTAACGGGTAAATCCTCCTCTGTTTGCCAAACAAGCATTGATCCGACGTGGCATACTCCTAATGAGACGTCTAAGGTCATTTTGGTCCAGATTGTCCCATTCCTGTTGCAACGCAGCAGCAAGTTCTTGGACATTGGCAGGACGTTGTTGACGTTGACGTAACCTCTATCCAAGCATGTCCCAGACATGCTCGATGGGGGAGAGGTCGGGACTCAGTGCTGGCCAAGGTAATGTGGTGATGTTCTGTTGTTGGAGGTAACCTGTAACGATCCTGGCCCTGTGACATCTTGCGTTGTCATCCTAGAAGATGAAACGGCGGCCATGACGTCGTGCGAACGGCACAACATGGACTGGCAAGATGTTGTCCCGGTAGTACTGGCCTGTAACACGCCCTGCAACAACATGTAAAGCCGTTCTTCCAGCATCAGTGATGCCTCCCCACACCATAACAGAACCACCCCCAAATCGATCATGTCTGATGACGTTAACGTCTTGGAAGCGCTCGTTTCGACGACGCCACACCCTCCTACGTCTGTCCAAAAAATCAACAGTGAACCTTGACTCATCTGAAAACATCACATTGCTCCAGCGTCGATTATCCCAGTGTTGACGATCCCTACACCAACGACGTCTTGCCTGAATGTGATGATCTCTCAAACAAGGGATCACGCGAGGACGTCGGGCGCGAAGGTGACCCCTATGCAGTCGATTCCGAATCGTCTGGCCACTCACTCTCACACCAGTGTCTGTTTGAAGACGAGCGCTGATCTGATTTGCTGTGATGACACGATTTCTCAAGGCCAAGGTACGGATAAATCGATCCTGGGCTTGAGTTGTCGCCCTTGGTCGACCTGAGCGTGGTCTGTCCTGTACAGATTGTGTATCACGGTATCTGGACCATAGCCTGCTTATGACAGACTGAGAAACATTCATCGTCCGCGCCACAACCGCCTGTGTTGTGCTGATCTGTAGCATGCCAAGGGCACGTAACCTTTCATTTTGGGTAAGCCGACGCATATCAAAATTTGTTTTCTGGTCACTAAAACAATTAAACTGATGTTTCCACCCTGGAATTCAATGCCACAATGACTGTAACATTCAAAGTCAGAGTCGTGCATATCTTGGGTTGGACCCCCATGATGATCCCAAGCATCACCTGCATTCCATGCGGTAGCTATTGGTGCGTTTGGGCGTCACATGTAACTGGAAATGTTTCTTCTGTTAGGTTCTATAGTGACTTTTTTCGTAGTCATTTGCATATTTTAGTATTATGCCCCCAAAATCAAATATCCCCTACTTTTTTTGAATAGTATAGTTGAGCATTTATTTTTGAGTACGATGTGTTTAAAACATGTATAAATTTTATGACTCATTAATTCCATCATTTGCCGTTATATAAAGATACAATAAATTCGCTGATAATAAAATACTTCAGTGTTACCGTATTGATATCTTTAACAATCTTTCTAGATGATATAATCCTCCTTGATGAATATCATCTACATACTTTATATATTCTAATTTTACTTTCAATATATGTTGGAATATCAAATTCTAAAAAAAAAGAAAGAACAAATATTACTATCACATAAGTACAGATGTTAAGACAACAGGAAATTTTGAAATGAAATCTAGTATAAGGCTTGCAGCCAAAAATTCTAGAGTGAAATTCTGCTACATGGTCCTCCCCTGCTAAACAAACTATACATTTTTGGAAAGCTTATAACATCAGGAACACAAATCCTGAGAGTTCCAAGCAAAATGTTATCACAAAGTCGATTAGGGCCTGATGAAAATCAGCATAATTGCTGAAATGAAATGAAATGGGGTTTAACGTCCTACTGTTTTGCTCCGAACTGGGCTAATGAAGACAGGCATACGCCATACAGTGTGCTATGAGGGAAATTTTGCCCGGACAGCGGCACTACGGCCTACTCTTATATCGAATTCCAACTGTCAAGGGATCTTTTACGTGCACGCCAATGTGTACACAGGACCTCGGTTTTCCGTATCATCCGAATGACTAGACAGCTGTCCTTGTCAGGCCCTCCGTCCTGCATCACTGACAAGGGGGAACCATGCCGGAAAATCGGGATGAACTTTCTCGGCCAATGCAGGGATCCAACACCCGACCTCCAGGCTAGCGAGCCAGCGCCTTACCCACTGAGCCACCGTGATCCCCAGCAGCATAATTGCTAAATAAATATGAAATTAAATATTGGCGAAAAAACCTGATGCCTTCATCCTTTGCAAAAAATATGGTATTGGTTAAATTTTGATTTAAACCAAAATACAGAAACATAATGTACAAGGGAATATACAGAATGGGTTCCTTAATGTCGCTTGATTTTTTTATCTATTTGGCCACTACATCGTCGCTCTCCTTCGGCTTCATCCTCAAAATTGATTCTGTCATTATTATACTAGTTATGTTTGGCCACATTTTGAAGCAGTTCTAATATTTGTCCCCATACCATTTCTGGTTATTCATCTCAGACGTCGGTTTGAAGGTTGGTTTTTATAAGAATACGACTAGCTGAATCCAAAGAGCTTGGGCATCCCCCCGCCCCCAAAAGTGACGGCAAATTCCGCAAGGAAGCCAAATTCAAAATGGGACCTATTTTTGAGAGAAAATCATAAAGTCCCCTGTATAGTTTTTCATGGTCTCCAAATTGAGGTATTAACATAAAATATGTTCCACCCAAAGGTATTCCAATACTATATTCGCATTGACAGTCATGATTGGCAGGACATTTCGAAATGAAATGGGGTTTAACATCCTACAGTTCTGCCCCAACTGGGAAAATGAGGACGGAGGGACATTTCGATGTTAGTTATATTATAGTAGTAATGTGATGGTGTATTACGTTAAACTGGAGGTTTTTGAGGTCGCCGAATTCATATCTGAACTGCTAAATGTAATATTTTCTTCCATGGTCTACTGAACATAGATATTTTGTCAAATTTGAGTACCATATTGGTGTTTTGTTCGGTCATGGCACATTTTGCACTTCAGATGTTAATTTGCCTGCCCCGAAAACCTACTATTTGACGTATTATGCCATCACATTGCTAACATCGAAATTTCACGCCAAATGTGGCCATATTTTGAATGAAGTCATCATATTGGAATACTAATTTGTATTGGCATCATCTGGATTCTGAATCGACACATACTAAAGATATATAATCCATCAAAACACATTAGGTGGACTTTATTTCATGGCCCGCGACAGCGACATCCAGGCCCTGGGACAAGCAACTGGACAAAATGTTTTGAAATACACAGTCTCAAGCGTCACTTGGCTTATATCTGAAATAACTGGAGGTCACTTTGCTAAAGTTCATTGGTTGGAAAAAGGTTCGCAATTGCCAAAAATATCGAAAAACTTTCGCTTTCAGTTTCGTTTTTAATGATCGGATACCAGTCAGCCTACCTAGAGCGATCATTCATTCATTGTAGCGTTCTTCAGGCCCGGACTTGGTCCGGATACCCTGACGGTGACGATAACATCAAACGGAACGAGAACGGGTCAGAGCTCCATGGCACTAAGGCCTGTGCAGGTGACTTATAGTTTTAAATTTACCAATTTTTCCAAAAAAGGTGAACTGACAGAATCCGATTCTAATCTTACCAATGGAACTAGATACCCACATTCAGCAAAGTTACCTGTTTTCTTCTGCTTTACTATCAAGTAACAGTGTATTTTTTAATTACTTTATACCAACAAATGTTTTTTTAAAACATTACAAAACAATTACACAGCATACCTCCGGGACCCTCTAGACTCCGAGCCCCTGGACAAGTATCCCAGTTGCCCCCCACCCTCTCTTACAGCTCAACCTGGTGTTTGACTACCGGAGTAGTACCATTAGCCTTGCTCATCAGCTAAAACGTAAAAAAATCGGGTAGACCAGTTTTCATCTTTTTGAACTCTGTGGTATTGACTTCCTGTCTGTCCACATGAACGGGAGCCCCAAAACGTAACTTTTTAAGTGTAGCTTTTAGGAACACTACCAGGGAGTGCTTTTCGCATTACAGCCCAAATTGTTTTTTGTTTTTTTGTAACACATCTCAAGTACATCTGTGTCAAATTATGAATCCTTATGATGATTTGGGGGATTAACCTACTTCTGAGTGGTCCAAATGTGAAAATTGGTCAGCCCCGCCCATTTAACCTGTGACCTCTAGAGGGTCCACAACATTCATATACCATATTTTAACGCTATTTGAGTACAAGGGGCGGCCATTTTGTCTGTCAGTTGTGATCCTATTTTTACGAAATTCGAATTCAACCATCCTTAGGGTGTAACGGTGATATATTCAAACAGTTTTTGAAATCAGATAAAAATTATAAAATCAAAATCAGAAGAAAATTGTGACCTCTAGAGGGTCCACAACATTCATATACCATATTTTAACACTATTTGAGTACGATTGGCGGTCATTTTGTCTGTCAGTTTTGGTCCTATTTTTACGAAATTCGAATTCAACCAGCTAAAAACACGATTTTCCGTACAATCAGGGGCCATAAGTCAGGATGTTACAATCCGATATGTACGAATATCGAAATGAACCGAGATCTTTGTGTTATAAACTTACATTTGAAGTTTCATCAAAATCAGAAGAAAATTGTGACCTCTAGAGAGTCCACAACCTTGATATATCATATTTTTATGCTATTTGAGTAGAAGGGGGGGCCTCATTGAACTCAACCATCCTTAGGGTGTAACGGTGATATATTCAAACGTTTTTTCAAGTTTCAACAAAATTGGATAAAAATTGTGACCTCTATAGGGTCAACAAGCTAAAAACGCAATTTTTCGTACAATCAGGGTCCATAATCAATGAAGTTACAGTCCGATACATGCCAATAACGAAAGGAACCAACATCTTAGGGGAGAGAAACCTATATTTCAAGTTTCGTTGAAATCAGATAAAAAAGTGTGACCTGTAGAGTGTCCACAAACAATTGTGGACGGACGTTCGGATGGACAGGGGCGACGACAATATACGTCCACATAAAAATGTGGGCGTATAAAAACGTTTGTTGACCAAAACTTCCGGACAGAATGACCACCCCTCGAATGCAAACAGAGTAAAAATATAGTATATCAGTAGTAAAAGTGTTATTTGTAAGTTTAGGGCATAGATAACTCCCGAATTGGGAAATTTGTACAAGTATCGGTAAAATTCTAGTTATCGCAACAAATCTAACACAAAGAGGCTAAAATCTGTAGATACGGTGTGTTAATTAACTGGGGTAAGAAATTGACTGAAAGGTGATTTAATTATCGCTAGGGGTGAAAATCTCTGGGACGGTACGTTTTCTGTACCGGGTGTGTTAATTAACGATCGGGTTAAAAACAACTGACACGATGTATATTCTTTGTTTGGTGAGTTTTCTCGAAAGCGTGTTATAACTGCACCAAAGGTGTTTTATCAAGGACCAACGTGTGATTTCTTGTACGACCGTGTGTTTTACAAAGATCAGTCTCTGTTAAGCGTAGGTCTTTATACATGGATTTATACGCGGGGTAGTTACGTATATGCGTATTTCATGTCTTGATGAGTACTACGTGTTTTGTACTTCGTACCATAGTCGGACTGCAGTTATTTATATATTTGATCTTTTTTTGTGGGTGTAATTTGTTTACAAATTATCGTGAGTACCACTGAACTATAAATGCATGTATCTTAAAATTGATCGCATGCAGTATCGTCATTTCCCGTTACCATAACCAACCTCAATTTGATTATCCGATATATTCAAATCTCCATTGATATCAGATTAACGAAGCTTGTTTTGAAAGCAAGTTTATCAATGTAAAATTGCACAATTAATGAAATCTGTAAGTTTTCGTCACTGCTATATTTACTACACGTTGGCGTATTAATATATAAATGTATAGTTTCTTGCCGGGGTCATAGGATAGATAGGACCACCAAGAAAAAGTAATTTCCTCACTATATATAACAAATGATAACTCACATATCAAATAACACTGATGAAAATAGGGACATGCGCCCGCTTCCACCCACAGTGATATTTCCCATTGCCAAATACTATTCAGATTCGATCTGTGCAACAAGCTCGTCTTTGAAAGAACAATACTGATATATGACCTAATATTGAGACGTTTGTTCATATAGCCGCTTGTTTTCGATTGTATGAAATAGCTTTACTATTTTACTCCACAGTACTAAGAAACCACAGGTTCTGTGTCGGTTCGTGCAAGCTTTTCACACAGAACTGTTCTTTGATGTTGAGAGGCGACACACAGTTAGCTCTGCTCTTTGATGTTGAGAGGCGAACTGTGTCTCGTGCACAAATGAATTAGCTGATAAAGTTGGTTGGAATTGTTACAGTTTATTCCAATAAGTACAACAACCAGCGGCTGCCAGGCAGGATACGTCCACATTTTCGAGAGATGGATAGAGAACAAGCTAAAAAGAAAGTGATTTTTTTCTACAATCAAGGGCCATAATTCTGGAAATTACAATTCGATATGTGCAAATATTGAAAGGAACCAAGATCTTTGTGTTATAAACT